CGACGGTTGTTAAGCTTATGGCGGTATTGTTGGAGAGATCTGTCTGTTGTTGTTACATGGGATGTAGTTTGACCGCACCATCTGCTATTGGCAAATCCAATAGGAGGTATGCCCTCTTCGTGTGCAAAATTTACCGTATGTATGACAGTTCCCTTTCCAGCTTGAAGATCCCCTGGAACGTTTCTACATTGTCGATTTAAAAATTCTCTGCATCTTATTGCCGTATTCATGGTTGCTGCTTGGATGTCAGAATATATATTGTGTAGAGTGCGGTCGTTGCTTTTCTACTCCTTTTCACCGTATACGTATGTCGGGTCGATAAGTTTACTATCTCCGATTATATGTTGATATGATGCCACAGTAAAAAGAGTAATATCGGTTTAATACATTAACCTGCATACAGCTATTAATTCCACACCTCATTGGACAGAAATACCAATGCCCAATTTTCCTGATACCATGGAAGAGATTCTACGGTTTGGTAAAGTTTTGACTTTCAAAATAACAGTAATCCGAAGTTGGGTTTCTGAGGCGTGCTGAATGATACAAACATTTGAATTCTCCGAAAATTTAGACCCAATGTCGGTAGTTACTTTTGACAGGAGTGTCTTGCACGTTATTTAATATAGAGGAAATTTACTTCTTACTTTACCTGAAGTCACGAGTTGGTTTATTGTACCAATATTGAAAGTTTGATGGATATATTTAATATCTCATACATCTCATTTCGTTCTCCAAAAGGGAGCCTTAAAGCATTTCAGCGGCTCATATACTTTCGGCAAACCTATAAGAGCTTGAAAATAGTTCCTTGCAGATAAAACTATTGGTTTCCCTAAAATAAATCTGCGAAAATATCATACATTTTTTTAAATCTTATTTGAATGAACTTTAATCAAATATGCAATTTCCATTTTGTTGGATTACCTTTCGCCATCTTTCCGGCAACATCATTATACCAGGCTCATAGAACTTCTGGTTTTTATCTCCGAAAAAAACTGAACCAAATGCGATTTTATAGCCTCGGACTTTTCGAAAGTTTTACCATTTAATGAGAGATCGAAAAAACGGCAGTCTGACGGTGCATGATCAGATCTAAATGGTGGATGCATCAACAGTTCGCACCCAAGGTCTCTTTGTTTTTAGTTTTGTCCTTGGGGAATATGACACCTTTACGATTGACCAATTTTGGCCGCTTCCCGTTGATTTATCCAGTTGTTCACTGTAGACATCCAAATTAATCGTTTAGTTCCTTGAAAGCGGCTTAAAATATACCATACCACCAAACTGACAGCTTAGTCTTCTTTTGAATCTAATCAGTTATGATTTGCTTCAAAAACGGATCATATTCATAGCGTTTAAGATGGTTGAGTTAGAACGGTTGAGTTTGGTACACATACTTAACCTCTCTCCAATATCACCCTCAGTTAAATGACGATCCGATTAGGTATTATGTCGTCATCATCAACTTCACTTGGCCGACCTCTTTGAGTGGAAAATCTCCCGTACGGAGTTTGACAAACCAACTTTGACACGGTGTTTCTCTTAAGGCCTTAAAAAACCAAACAAATTATGCAACTTTTTAGCAAAATGTGCTAAATTTTTTCCTTTAAGGAAATAATACAAATACGCAAATATAAACAAAATTACGCAAACTAAAAGTGACAGCTTATAACTGTTCACACAAATTTTCAACGCAGTCTGTATGAAAATAGCTGATTTCTTTTGTGTCAAGCCACATAAATACCACTTTTCGCAAGAGTGCGGTGATTGGGATAAGTGGGCATGTTGCTGTGGGTTAATTCAATTGCCTAGCTTTTTGTGACTATTGGACAGCAGAGATCCAACAAAGATCTAAAAAAGCATTGGACTCCAAGTGGGCTTAACGTAGTTGAAAATATCGTCCTGCGTGAAACTTTAGGACTACCTCACCACTACCCCCGCTTAACACTAGGTTTAATGAAAAAATTTGGAATAATTAAAATTGCTTTAAATATGTAATATCAATTCAGTTACCAGTCTTCTCAGAATCTGTAGCTAAGCCACAACTCGTCACAACCATGGCGTGCCTTCAAATCCACCTTGAATTGCTTTGGACAGAGTCATAGAGAAACTTTTAGGCAGAGTTCCAAAGAAGTCATCAAAAAAATGTTAAATGCGTTTCAAGTTTTTGGTTACCTAATGAGTTTTTAAAGTAAATTTTATTTATTGCTATCCCAACTATTTTCCAAAAAATTAGGAGATTTGAGTAAAGCGCAAATTTTCACAAAGATAATAATCTGATGGAAAATGGTACCACGGGAAAGAAGCTTCTTATGAAAGCAGACTACTAATAAACGCTTCAGTTTGCCATAAGCGAAAATCTGTTGATACCGTTTCGATCAAAATCATATGTGTTCAAGTTTTCTGGATGTCATTAATTGTTTTCTTTTTCCAACCAACCGATAGCATCATACAATGCTGTATGTCTGTTTCAATTAAAAATTTTGAAAAAAGCGAAGGACGTCATTGAAAATTAGTGAGTACCTTTCGAGCGGGATTCGAAGAGTTAAGTCGATTAATGACGCAAATATTATGGAATGTAAAAGTATTCGATTTCCGAGAACGACAAACGTGTACTTCAAGTTTGGATGAATTTAGGCAGTTATCTTCCAAGTTGATCGAGGAATACTCGTTTACGGCGAAATTAAAAGTGTCTTCCTTTAAAATTCGTGCTTTCATTTTCACATCAATATGATGATATAATTTTCCTTAATTAGTGAAACAGGAATGATGAGCGACTTATAAAGTTTGGTCTGCGTTTGTCGAGAGAGAAGTCATTTAGACCAAAGGTCCTCAACAAGGTGAGAGTTCTCTTTACTTGAATAACCTCAATCGTTTGTTATTCATCAAGATCGAAACTGTATAATACAAACAATCCTACTTATCGCAAGCATTCGCTAGAATCTTCGGTATACGAAGGAGCGTACTTATCTTAGCCGATTCAGTGTGTTTTGGGAAGGTGATTAGGCTGAATTGATCGTAACGTCAGTGAACAGTGACTCAAAAATAATAAAAATACCAAATTTTATTATTCCTTGAGCTATCGTCAATCAAAAAAAAATAATCAGGAGCGAAAAGTGAAATATGGAAACCGATTATCGCAACGTTATAAATGTCCATATCAAGCAAGGGAAAACAGTTGCGACCATAATAAACGATATAGTATTGTTGGTTTATTGCGACTCTTTTCCGAGGAAAAACCGAGATGAACAAGCGACACAGTTTATTTAAATATGGAATGGAAACTCTTGGAGACGACCCGAGGCTTGGTAGAAGTATCGAAGTGACCACGCCCGAACTTATTAAAAAAATTTAAAAAAAAAAACTGTTCTGGACGATATTCGACTAAAGAAGAAACAATCCGCAGATATGGCTGGAGTATCCGATACAACCGTTTTAAAACTTCGTTGGCATGACTAAGCTCAGCGCAAGATGGGTGACAATAACGATTACGGTTTTACAACAAGCATGGCGCGCACAGAGTTCATGTGCATTTTTGAACCTCTGCAATGAAGAGAACGATGCTGTATTGAGTCGAATTGTAACTGAAGATGACTATTGGATTCATCATTATGAAGCTGAGTTGAATCAAATAGCCACAACACCTACCAATAGTAATTTATGGTGCCACAGTCATCTGGGAGACTCATGACAACAGCCTTTTGGGATTCGAAAAGAATATTATTGATCGATTATAAAGGTAAAAGTGTTTCGATACTACTGTGGCTAATAGCGGGCGTAACAGCCGAGTAGTTAGCATTGTGTACTGCCATTCTTAGGACCATGGTTCGAGTTCTAGTTCGATCAAAATTCAAAATTATAGAAAATTAATTTTTCTAATTGCCGTCGCCTCGGATGCAAATCCTGGCGTCGTACTGAATTCCAAAAAGTCATAAAAACTTAATTTGAAATAAAAAATTTAGCTAAATTTTCAAGTTGCCGTCGCCTCGCGGCAGAGAATATTAAGCTTTCTGAGTGCCTCTCTGACATAAAATAAAAGGTACTCTTAAAAAACCATCAGCCGTTCGGAGGCGGCTGAGTGTAATCTGTAGGTTGTTTTTGTTGGAAAAACATGAAGACGCATCCCAAAAATTGGAGAAGGAGCTCGGCCTATATGCCTATATATGTACATATTACATATATGCATATGTATATATAATAATATAAGAAGAAAATATGGGGAAAATTGACAAAAGACAAAAGAAAAGATGTTGTTTGCACGTCAACGCGTTCGTCCACAAAAGACGCGTTGCATAAGCTGCCCTTTGTAAGATGAACTTTGATATTTTGAATCACCCTCCCCACAGTCCGGATCTGACCCCGAATAATTATTACCTGTTTCCAAATATGAAAAAAGGGCTGAGTGATAAAAAAAAAATTAAGAAACGGTGATGAAGTCCTGGAGGCAGTTCCAGCGTAATTTGAAGATAAACAGAAAACAGTTTTTTATGTATCCGTGTTGTACGAGAATACATTGAAAAAAAATTGGTTTTTTTTATAACATAAAAACGTTCGAAAAAAGTTTTTATTTTATTTTATTTATTAAAGCTTACTTAAAAAATCTTATTATATAAACTATGGTACGCAGCGCTGGCAACATCGGCTTTCGGTTGACTGGTTTATTTAGATACGGCGAAGAAGACCGGATTCCTTTAAGAAATTATGAATTTTCGAAATGTTTTCAGCTGATGGTATTCTTAGGAAATAAAACGGCTCTTCGTTGTTGAAGTGGTTTGTTCTTTAGTTTTCTAGAGCGGGACCGGCGGTAGGAAAGTGGATCACAGAAGAGAAATTGTTTTTGGCGGCTGCCGCTCAATAGGTGTATATTGGTTATGATACAGTGACCTATGCGAAGTCTGATGGACGAAGTAATTAAATTGGTCGACATGGTTGACGGAAAATCAGGCCTGATGCGAATAGGATTAATCCTTGAAATGCCTATCGTGCGGAAATTACATAAATCATACATCTCTTAATAGCAACTTTCGTCTAGACCAAGTTCCCTTTGTTAACCAGCTCTAAAGTAATAAGTGGATGTTTGGCCTAAATGAGAAAGTTCCAATGAAAAATCGGCTCGCAAAGCCTCATCTTGCCTTGTAGCAAAGTAACAATGAGTAGTGTCTATGTCCACCGCACTCGAGATCTTTAGTGCAGTTTAGTTTACGTACATAAAGGGTTTTCCAATAGCAATGATATGATTCTGGTGCGAAGAAAATCCACGAATTATTCAAGAACACCTAAATATACAGTTAGGTGTGGTGTTGTTCTGGGGTTGAATTGAGCGTTCTGTGTCGTAAGAAAGAAAGAAATTCCTTGATACGTTTGAATCAGCAAATGTTTAATATTTTGTCAAATAAAAGCAATTAAGGCCTTGGCGTTTATAGCGTTTTACTTTATTGTTCATCTTCCGATGAAAGTTATGACGATGAACGTATTGTAAGGAAGCGATTAAGGGAATTTGCAAGTTTTTTTCGCCTTGTACTTTTGGTCAGCGTATACCTAAAATGTAACGGGGAGAAAAATTTCGATGTAAAAGAAAATTTTTGTTTGTGTATTTTGGGTAGACGTTTTGATATCCTTACCTGGCGGACGATGTATTGGCTTTGACCTATGTGCAGTTTGGCAAAAGGTTTTTTGCTTACTTCTTAATTTTATTTGCATTTCTTCTAAAATAATATTATTTATTAAGTCAACAATATTTTTTTAAATACTTTAAAATAAACATGACAGTTCTTAACGAAATACTCGTTACCGTATGGCCTTTCCGAACGCATTATACCGAATTACGGACCACAAGTATATGTTCACGTATGGCGTAATGCCAAATATTTAAATCTACTTGACGAGTTATACGTTTACGGAACGCTCGATGCGACCCCTGGTGGAATCATCGGTCCGTACTTCATTCGAAATGAAGCTGGCACCCTTACAGTCAATGGAGAGCGGTATAGATCGATTATACCCAAACTTTTTATGGCCACAATTGAAAGAAACTGATCTTAACAACATCTGGTTCCAACCAGACGGCGCTACGTGTCACACAGCACGTGCAACAACCGGATTATTGCGCGATTCGTTTATTTCAACAAATTGTGATATTGAATGATTCCCAAGAAGATGTTATTTAACTCTATTAGACTACTTCTTGTGGAGTTAATTGAAGTCATTGGTCTTTAGCAAGCTTTAAAAGTCAATATTGAACGTGCTAGTCACGTTGCGCGATTTGATTTAGTGGAAAGTGCTAAAGAATTGGGTATATCGAATGAAACCATTTAAATGATGTTACATTCAGAACTTAATTATGTCGATTGTGCTTCACATTAAATAAAAAGCGATTGAATTTCCTTAACAATTAGTGTGTTCTTCTTAAGAAATCATATCACTCTTATTGGAACACCCTATAGATATTGATCAAGTAAAAAGTTCATTCGGTATTTATTTAAGAGATGGCGTTATTTTCTATAGTACTAGTGTTTCGTGTCGCAGCATGTCATACTATACGGCGCTAAAAGTTTGCCTTTGACAGTTTTTGGATTGATTGACTCAGTACGTTGTGAGCGCTCGTCAAAGATGGATACCAGCAAAGAGAAAATTCGCTATATTTGACAATTTTTCTTCGATCAAGGCGAAAAAGCAGCCAAAGCGGCTGAAAAATTTAATTTAGTTTATGGACCTGATACTGTAAACGAACGTGTAGTACAAAAGTAGTTTGCTAGGTTCCGATCCGGTAATTTCGATGTCAAAGATGCACCACGCGTCGGGAGGCCTGCCGTTGAAAATTGCGATAAAATCATGGAAATAGTGGAAACAGACCGTCACGTGAGCACTTATTTAATTGCTGAGGAACTAAAGATAAGCTAGAAAACCGTTTCGAACCATTTGCATAACCTTGGATTCAAAAAGAAGCTCGATGTTTGGGTGCCACACGAACTAACGCAAAAAAACATGATGGACCGAATTCCCATCTGCGAATCGCTGCTCAATCGCAACAAAATCGATCCGTTTCAGAAGCGGATTGTGACTGGCGATGAAAAATAGGTTACTTACGACAACATTGAGCGCAAACGGACATGACCAAAGCTAGGGGAAGCGGCCCAGACGGTGGCCAATACCGGATTGACGGCCAGGAAGGTTTTGCTGTGTGTTTGGTGGGATTGGCAAGGCATCATCTACAACGAGCTGCTCCTATGCCCAAACGCTCAATTCGACCCTCTACTGCCAACAATTGGACCGCTAGAAGGCAGTACTCATCCAGAAGAGGTCATCTTTGATCAATAGAGGCCGAATTGCGTTCCATCAGGACAACGCCAGGCCGCACACGTTTTTGGTGATGCGCCAGAAGCTCCAGGAGCTCGGATGGGACGGTCTCCTGCACCCACCTTATAATGCGATCCTGGCATCAAGTTGGCAACAATTTTACAAACTAAACGGCGCATATTTGACTTAAATCGGACAAATGTACAAAAAGTTATTATATTTTGAAAAATCAATAAAAAAAACCGAACGAACCTTTTACTTGACCAATATATAGTATGTACTAAAAGCACATTTATCCGAAAATACATAAATATGTATGTATTTACGTATGTAGCAAAAAAAACTTTCATACGTACATACATATATATATTTAATGCCTACAGATCACTCATAACCATAAATTTCTTCTTTTTTAAGTTCACTGAAAGGTCCACGGCGATCTAACGGCTCCGCAGCTATTGAATAATAATGCCTGTGTGATCGTAAAGCACGCCATCGCAACCTTCTCATCAGCGTTACTTAGGTACCGGCGAAGTGAGTCTGTCAAAAATCATTAGAATAAATAAAAGCTGAGAAAATGCTAGAAATTGAATGACAAAGACAAATTTCAAACATGGCGTCGTCGCCATTCTATATAATGGCGCACTGGATGTCAGCGAAGTCAAGACTACTTGTGTCGAAACGATTCAAAGAAAGTAGTTTCGTGCTCGCCTGCGCATGTACTCGTATTGATATACGCAAGCATTTGGTTGGATATGTGTCTTTTGATGTTTGTTGTTTGCTTTGCTGCCTCTGCTGCCTTTGCTGCCTCTGCTGCCTTTGCTGCTTTTGCTGTCTGGTGTCAAAGGCACAGTGGACTCGAGGTTTCTACGCCAACGATACGTCATTTTACTAAGCCTTACTTCAGTTGCATATCAATGCAAGTACGAGTATGTACATATTTATATACAATACATTGGTACACACAAACCTACATACGTATGCCAAGTACAAAAGTTAATGGGCTTATGCATTGGTATGTGATTTTCTTTAGTATATATAGTATATAATATGTATTTTTATATATATAATACATATGCGTACGTACTCGTGTGTATATAAACGTATGAAAATATATTCAGTTTTATTGTTGACATGAATGTAGATCTGCCGGGCAACACACCAATACAGATGCAATCAATTAAGCTTCATTAAGATCAATTTAAAAAGTCCCGCATAAATTTTCAAACCGTATTTTTGTTGTTGGCTCTCAGTTTGTCATAATATGTTATTTTTCTACGCTTAAAATACCGAATAATATCAGCAATATCAGCACGCCGAACATTTTATTTGCTTCATAAACACAGGCGTCGGCAGAATTGGTTACCGTTTAGAAGGTATACAGGCTCAGGCACTGATGACCAGATGCTGATTTGGAGCTTATGATTTTTTTATGCTGAGTGAGAGGTATTTTCGGATTTTCTGCTCATTCTATGCACATGTTGTCGTATTTCTAATATTATTTTTCGAATATCGACTGTGTTGTAGGTACAGCCACCTTGGGTTAAGGTAACACTTCTCGATGGTACAATATGTCTTCAGAGGACCGAGAAGATGTGAGCGACAGCTTGATTATACATATATTTTCACGACATTCGCTATCACTTCATTAGCTGTTGTCGTGAACTACGCGCAAATCGCTAATTAAATTACGAATATTTTCAAGTTGTTAGCGCCATTGACAAAATATTGATATTCTGTTACGGTTAAAATGAAAGTAGATCGAGATATTACTCTGGCAATGTAAAAACAAAAAGTAAATAATAATCCAATTTTTTTGAGTATTTGGCAATCGTTTCATCCCAAAATGAGGAAATATCGTACCCTCAATCATTGTATAGAAATTTGCTTCGATAATTGGAAGACCCTTCCTCTTGATAGTAACTGAGTTTCCAAATCTATGCCGGTTAAAAATAGATTTACAATTTTTTCAATTACATAATTGCTTCAAACGAGAGAGGTAAATAATATAACTTTCAAGTGTTCTTCAAGATTCAACACTATTAAAATGTTTAGAAGTTCTAACCGCCTTTCGTTTATATGCAACTGCTATGGGCATAAACCGTTATATCGGTCGCTTAAAAGACGTAAAAAACCGTTAGATGTTTTCGCGATTGTTAGATTTCTCATTACCCAAATAAAGCGGCAAGCTGCAAAGGAATTTTTTGGAGGCACTCATGAGTCAATCAAGAGACCCAGAAATCATGAAGAAACTTTTGTGAACACCATGAATATATTATATAAATATATAATATATATTATATAAAGCATTATATTTGAACATAAATATACATGTTGAACCTTATGACAAGATTTTGAGAATAAACGCTAAATACTCAGTACCGAGGCACGATTCATTTATATGGAGCTTCTCTATAGTGAGAAGAGTCATGCAACGTGTTTAAGAAAGTGCAAACCACATCATGTTTTTGATTGGTAAACTTTGTAATCTATTGCAGCTCATTTATTAAAAAAAAGTGGCCTCAAGGAATTTATGTGTTATTGTCATTTCTTTTTGTGATTTTCACAAAATTTCGACGTTTTATTAAGCAATGAAGCTATGAGGCTACTCCCTCCGTTGTAACAAATAGAAAGTTTCACTTGTTGATTATCGTTAAAAATCAGTTAGTGAATCGCATAATCGCTACTTCAACCGTTGAAATTCCTAAGTGAGCAATCCGTCAAATCGCATCGTAAAAGTTAGTTAATTCCAATACTCCATTTACAAGCCTATTCTCACTGTTACCGGTAAAGTAAATTTTGTTACATTTCTTTAACACCCGAAATTGAATTTGGTATTCTGGCGAAGTGGTTACAATGTTTGAAAAAAACTTGGCAGCACTGCTTTTTTCGTCCATGTCAAATTACATTTGCCAGTTGATAAAGTAAAAAGAAAAATATTCACATCGAAATGGAAGACAGTGGACAAAAAAATTAAAAAAGTTTTATTATTTTGTTAATTAAATCATAAATATTTGAACCTAATTATGGAAAATATTTTTGCACAACAAAAAAGCGCTGAATGAAAACGTTATCTTACAAATTAAAGGGCTATTTTTTAGTGTCGAAAACTTATTAAAATACGGCTTTTGGCACTTTTTTCTTCATCTTCAATGAATTCCAGGCCTAAAATATGCCTACCCATTTAGGTTTTTTATTTTTTCTCAAACTTTCAACACAAAATCAAACAGCTGATATTTTTGTCACCTCCTATTTCGCTAGTAACAAAATTTACAGGGTAGCAGTGAGCTCAAAATACGAAATGGTAACAAAATTTACTGAATAGTAAATTTTAATACCTAGGTAAATTTTGTTACCTCGACAGAATAGGCTTGTTAGACTTTAATAACACTTGCTTGTGTAATTATTATGTTGTTTAGTTGTAGTTAATATGAGGGTATCGTTTTCCAGTGTTGCCGTTAGAACTCTTCCGAAAATTGTAGTCATAATGTAATGAAAGCTTAAGCTCCCAATATAACG